TCGTGTGTGTGTGTGTGTGTGTGTGTGTGTGTGTGTGTGTGTGTGTGTGTGTGTGTGTGTGTGTACGTTGTTGGCAAAAGACAGAAGGTAGATGATGGTGTGTGGAAATCTGTGGCATTAGACAAAAAGTAGAAGATGGTGTGTGGAAGTCTGTGGCATTAAACAGAAGATAGATGATGGTGTGTGTAAGTCTGTGGCATTAGATAGAAGGTAGAAGATGGTGTGTGGAAGTCTGTGGCATTAGACAGAAAGTAGAAGATGGTGTGCCCTTGGTAGTAGAGACAAAAGGTAGAAGATGTTGTGTGTAAGTCTTTGGCACAAGACAGAAGATAAAAGATGGTTTGTGGAAGTTGTTGGTAGAAGGTAACAGATAGTATAAATAAGTCTTTGGTTGTAGACAGAAGAAAATAGTAAGTAATTGGTATTTAGCAGAAAATTAGAGACAGTGTACCTAAGTCCGTGGCTGTAGAGACAGAAGGTAACAGATGGTGTGTGTCCGTCGTTGGCAGTAGAGACAGAAGGTAATAAATCACTACTTTAGAATTACAACTTTATTTATCTGACATTTTAGCCGTTTTGAGTTACTATGACCAAGAGTTCAGAAACCAATAAAGGCTGACTTTATGCAATTTAATCATGTGAAATGATAAAAGACATGTTCAACTTGAAGAAAATGACATAAGCTGAACATCAACAATTTTGACGCTCATCTCGATTATCGGCCAATATCTCCAATATCTCCATTTGCGGATTGCGAGAAGTAACTCATTTTGCCAGCACGCCTCATAATTAATGTTCTATCTGCTCTATCAAAATCGTAAGATAATTCGTAGTCGTTATCAAGATATTCAAAGAATATGCTTTCGAAAAAGCTTGGCATGTCGTGAAGTTCAAACTATTCAACGTCAACTTTCTCAAATCGAGGTACTGAGCAGATAGAACGTTGCATTTGGTCGCTTTTAAGCACAAGGGGGGGGGGGGGGGGGTATCCCGAAAAATGCTGTTTTGAGAAAAATCGAAGGTAACGTTTTTGCCCCTGGTTCAGTTTCTTAAAAAAACAAAACAAGGAGAG